GTGCTGGATCTCTGCTAGATGAACAGTAACTTGCTCTTTTTCCATAGCCACTTAGATGAAAATATCATCCCAACGAAGTTAGTTGCCTGTTTTTAAGAGGCTAATGGGGTGCTAGGTTTTGATTAATTCGCTCTTCTTGAAGTTCCCTAATCAGAAGTTAAGAAATAGGTTTAGAAGTGTAACTCTTTATCATGCACTGGTACACTGTGTGGAGTTCCATACTGGATCTCTTGCAGGATCAATTTATCCTTTGTGTTCAAACTCACTGCTCTCAGTGACTGACTGAGCAAGGTACTGTGCTTCTGAACTTACCAGAAACTCTCCTTTAACTTCCTTTATAGGCAAGCATCTCACTGACCTTTGGCTTTATACCTTGGAGTTTCAAGATTCTTTAAGTATTCCCGAGGTAAGAGAAACATGAGAGAGAGAAAGAGCTTTGCTTCCCCAAGCATTTTCCTACATCTTCCTTATTGAGACCACCTCAGTTTGCTGTTAACTAGGCTAAGATCATCTTATGGCTGGTTTTCAAACTGCAATAGCCATAGCTCTTTTGGATCTTGTTGACTAGGGAAAAATAAATCTGGGGAAGTGTGAAAAGATTATATTCTGCAGCTTGTCGGGAAGAAGGGCTATTATTATTTCTTTAAAGTTACTGTGACAGCTGAGTTTTTCATTCTTAGCTTTTAACAACAGACTGTTTTGCAGTAGGCTCATGTTCTGTGACTCCTGACCCCTAAAGCTGTTGGTAGGGTGGCTCAAGGAGCCTGTGCCTGTGAGCAAATTCAAGGACCAGAGTATCTTTTTCAGTTTCCATGATGAAATCTAATAAAGATACTGTTCATAGGAGCAAACCAGAAGTCCAGATAAACAATTCTGATTTTAATAGACTCTCTGCTTAGAGACTGGGTTGACTGGTTTGTTGTGTTGGTTTTCTTGTGCTCTTTGTATCTCTCTCTTTCTCTTCTTTGAACTTGTCTCCTATTTTCCTGGCACTTGAAAGCCAGTTTCTTTGGCTCAGTTTATACATATACATTTAGCTGTGGGGTCTTTCCAGGCTCTCTTCTTGGTGGTGCTCAGAAACAGTCATGAAGACTGTTCCAGCAGATCTGTAGATATTTTTTTTTTTTTTAATCTTGTGTGTAAACGAGGAAGCCCTGCAACACCAAAATGATAGTATTCAAGGTTGCTTCTCAAAAACAATTGGTTTTTCGGTAGGTGGTGCTGGGAAAGACTAATGAATAAACTGCCATTTCATTATACTTCTGGGAGCAGTGACAGATCTATCCTAAGGAACACTCAACTTCTAGGCTTTCTTGGGATGTTGGCTTCAGTGTCTCAAACGGGAAGGTACCCTTCAAAGTCTATAGCGAGATACACCTGTGAAAGTACAGAAGCTTTCATGAGGAGTCGTTGTGGTATTCTAGATTAGCTCATAAGCATTATATGCTCTCAGTGCAGTTTACATGTGCAGTTGAGCTGTGAACAACTCCCTAATTCAGGCTCAGGGTGCAAAGTGTCATTCTGTTTTCATTGATTTGGGAACCTTTGAAGTGAAATGCTTTACATCATTATGTTGGTTTCTAGCATCTTTCCATGTACTTGTGGACACTGCTTGCTTGTTTGGATTCCTGCTTATCTCTTTTGATTATCTCTGTCTTAGCACCATGTAAAAAATACCAGTACAGTGTTTTGATAGAGATGCTGCAGGAGGTCCTTGGAATTAATTTTTGAACCCTTGGGTGCCAAGGGTTCTTTGAAAAACCCAGTTCCTCCTCCAAGTTTCAAATGCGTGGCATACAGTGAAACATTCATCTGACCTTTTAACATTTTAGGTTTTTTACAATCTCTTTACCCCCTTATTTCCAGCCTTCTTTTTGGCCTTTTCAAGACTGGGGCATACATTAACTATTCTGCTTCTCAGGAGTGATGTTACATGAGTTTCTGGTAGACATTTAAAGGAATTCCACCAGCAGTGTGGAATGCCCGAGACAAGAACCCTTATAAACACCTGCTGAATGTGATCCATGTAGGTATGCAGGTGACTTTTAAAGGGTTCGCGCCAGGTTCTGAGCTAACTAAGGTAGCTAGTTATGTAGACATCTAGTCAGCCTCTGTGAATGTTATGTTGTGAAAGACTGAAATATGAGCATTGCTTTGGGGCTGTAAGATGTGCTTCTGATTGCTAGAAAATGTAGGGTGTTGATTCTTTTTCTGTAGGTGAGAGCTGCTCTTTAAGCTTAGTATCTGCCCTTGCCCTGCTTCCCCCCCCCCCCCGGTGGTTGAGCTGAAATACTGCTTTCTTCAGCTAGCCTAGACCAAGCTGCTTCTTGATAATAAACAAGTATGCATATGTCTATCAGCACATACATTGCCTGTCTCAGGTGCTAATGCAATTTTGAATGTGACAGTTTTTCCATGTGTCTTTGCTTCTGCAGGTCACTTAGCTAAAAAAAAAAAAAAGTTGCATTTCAATGCCTAACACAAAATGTAAGGGAGAGGGCAATCGTTCCTTTAGCCCTGCAAGATAGCTGAAGACCAATTTTAGTAGTAAATCCTGTGGCTTTTCCTCCTGTAATGTTTGCAGATACAGATGTAAACAAAATGTTGACCTGTCATGTTTGTGTATATTGGTGTGCTTTTGTACTTTCATGGTGTAAGTACAGTTGGGTCCTTTTTAGGAAAACTGTTTCTGATAGAATAGGACTTGCTCTCATTTTCAGAAACTAGTCGGGTTCAGTTCAGGCTATATAATTTTAAGTTCCCGTAATGTCTGAGGAATCTGTGAGTTACAACTGTCAAATCTGGGAGAAGTCTTTATGGTTTTGGGAGAACTGGGAGATAGTATTCTTGTGTCTGACTGGCAAGTTGAGGGAGACTTTGCTGTGCTACAGAACAAAAATAATAATGATCATGTCATCTGTAGTCTGAAGGGAGTTTTCTTGCATGATGAGGTCTCGGCAGGTTGTTAGCCAGTTAGCTTTTCGGGGAGATGAAATAAGTATATTCGTTAATAAGGAACTTTATTTGAAACTTCTTGGCACTTTGTTCCACAATTCTAAGTGGGCATCTGTTTCTTGACTGACTGTTGCTGTCTTGTTAGGTGTTATCCCAGCCAGAAGAATACTTAATCTAATGTCTTTTCAGACCTGCTTACTGTATCTTCTCTGAAAGCTCACAAGTTTATGCTGATAATCATTGCCATATTCAAAAAGATCTAAAAGATTGCATAGTCGTTATATGGAAGTTTTTCAGGTGGAAAATGCAGAGAAGATGTGTAAAAGCAGTGGCGTGGAACTCTGATAAACTGGACTGCTGCTGGAACTGATACTGCTGCTAGGAGATCTTTATTGTGTCAGGAGCATAAATACAGAATTTTACTTCTAATGAAGGAAGTTGAATCCTCATCATTATTAGCTATTTCTGATTAAACTCTTACTGCTTTACAAGGTGGAATAAAATTGGAATGTGCAACACTTAAGGTGTTTTGTTTCCTTCATGCAAGTTGCATAGAAGAAGCAAATCTTATTTGGTTGTCGGAAAAGAAGTTACTTGCAACATTCAGTGTTCTGAGAAGAGGATAAGGCAAGTGATATGGTAATTTAAAAAACAGGCTATCAGTGAGGGAGTTGATGAGGTTTCCTTCCACCAACATTAAGAATTTATTTCCACTTGTTTACTTTTGTCATCAAATACAGACTTCATTTGGTAAGTAACAGTGTGGTAACACACTTCAAGCAACAAGTAATGGGACTTAGTCCTGTGGATTATAAGAGTCACCTGGGCTGTATTGTACACTTAAAAGTATACACACCCCACCTCCGCCCCAAAGCGAAGCATATATAGGTAGGTACTCAGTCAAATGCAATTTATAGAGATTCAATATAATCTCTAATTAAGTTCTGCTTTGTCTTGATGGTTTTGCAGCTCAAAAATGGAACGCCTGCTTCTTGCAGTCATATAGACTTTTTCTGTAACCAGTTTCTTCCTGTTGAAAGTTTGAAGGATACTTTTTCCTGAATCACAAGCTTATGGGAAGAAGGCAGAGTTCTCTGCTAATGTCCAGGGGTTTATTTTCATATTTTGTCTACCCATGATTTTCATCTACCTGTTTCCTGTAGCCACTATTTTGGAGAAAAATTCTTACAATGGCATTAATTTGCGGAACTTCAGTCTTCTACAGATGTAGTATCTATGCTGTGTGTTCCTATTCATAGATACTTCTTGTGTAGTCATTGAGGTGTGTTTTATATGAATGCAAATGTTAAGTATGCTAACAGTATAAACCCATATAGTGGATTTGTCAGTGTAACAAGGCTTTCGGTTGGGCAAAAGTTGATTTGAAATTACTCTTCAAGGTAGTTGCATGTTTTTTCTGTTTCGAGATTTCTTACTCAGTCTTTTCAGTTATGCTAATAGTTTGTTCCCCATTAAAAAAAAATAGTGTAATATGTGAGGTTGTATAGGACTTAAATACAAAATCCCACCTCCCCCCACCCCCCCTCTACCTGGCTACAAAAGCCAGAACTGTGCATAGCTCCCTTGATACCAATGTTAACTGGGAAACTTAGAGCATCCCGTTTATTTGCTGGTGGTTTTGCACATGCACTTTTAATAACAGTAAATTTGTTAGGAAAGTAATGACAGTAACACTTTTATTATACTAGTTATTTAGCTGCTTTGTTCCAAACAATAGATGTTGAAAACAGTGAAATATTATTCCGTAGCGGTTAATCCTATCAGATGACTTGTTCCATAAATACATTCTGCTTCTCGGCAGAATGGAGAGTTTTAACATTCCAAGTAGTGTGATTGGCTTTACCTTACTTCTGCCATTACCTCAGGAAATGAGGCCTATGATTTGAGTACCTAATAATCAGTTTCTTTATGCTAGGAGTTAAATATTTATGTGGCTAGCAAAAGAACTCTGTGCTGTGACTAACTGTGAGGAAGAATGGAGAATGAAAAACAGTGGACTGGAATAGCTTTGTTCTTTATTTCAGATTTCGACCTATTAAAGGAAGGCAAGAAGAACTAAAAGAGGTGATTGAACGTTTTAAGAAAGATGAGCACTTAGAAAAAGCCTTCAAGTCCTTGACGTCAGGTGACTGGGCCCGGCACTATTTTCTTAACAAGAACAAAATGCAGGAAAGGTTGTTCAAGGAACATGTAGGTGTATTTATAATTAATGTGCTTTTGCAGATGGCTGAAAGACTATGAAAATTTAAAAATTTTAGGAATGTAGCAGTAGTAATCTGCTGCTCTTATGTGATTTGTTTAATTTATTTAACAGAAACTTCGTTTGTTTTTTAAAAACCAGTTAGCTTCCCCCCACCTTTTTTTTTTTTTGAGTTAACTTACCATTGCCTTTTATTTAATAAACACATAGAAAGGAAAACACATTTGTGCTTCTGCTATTGGCTTAAGTCATAAGCAGAAGAGAGAAGACTACTTCTGGGACAGACAAGTTTCAAGGACTTCTTTCATTCTTTGGAAGGGGCTTCTCCCACCTCCACCCTCCCCCCCCCATTTTTTTTCTCACTCGTTTTATGTGGGTGTTTTTGGGTGTGTTGTTTTGTTTGTTTTTTTTATTTACAGCTATTGTAAAGCAAATTGTGTGACTAAAAAAGGTAAAGGGAGAAGACTTGCTACCTCAAAGTATCTCAGTTGTTTTGGGTATAGGGTCGTAATGTGGGAGTGTTGTTACTCTTCCTCCATTCCCACACTCCAGACCCATTTTATATGTAGCATAAAGATGGTTGACTCTCAAAGCGGCAAGGAAATAACAGTATTTTTTTAGTGGTTTTTTTTTTATTTTAAACTAACAAACAGAAAACCCACAAAAAAACCAAACAATTTCTTAAGGAGTGAATGCATTGTTTTCAGATGAAACCAAAAGGAATTTGGTCTACTTTAAATTGCATCAAATCTAGTAGTGTAGGAAAAAACAGGCAGCAAATTCTACTTTCCTGAAGTGTTTTTTGAGTAATACAGCCGCACTGTAACTAAAAAGAATTGATGCAGCAATCCCTGAATTCAGTGTCTAAATTTGGCATGGAAAACCTTTTTCAGACCTGGAAAGAATAAAATTGAATCTGTAGATTGTTACGTCTCAGTGGCTCTTAAAGATCTGAGGAGAATTCTTGAATGGAGCTACTCGGTGACTTTAAGAAGAGACTATCCATTTTTATTGGTTTGGCTAGTTTTGTTTCATTTGAGGCATCTTTAATTTTTTTTTAAACTCTTTGGATAGTCATGTTGTCCATGTGAAGATTCCTGCAAGTTGCTCTGAAGAAATGAGATTAACATAATGTGTATAGCTAAAATTTATAATCAGAAATGCATTTCAGCAAACAACATCCCATTGCAATATCCATTTTCTGTGTTTTTTTGTGCTCATTATTTTTATATAAAAGTTCCTCACTGATTTTATTTTACTTGTAACAGAATAGTACTGTTTTCTTTCATTGCAGGTATTTATTTATTTACGAATGTTTGCAACTGACAGTGGGTTTGAGATACTGCCTTGTAATCGGTATTCTTCTGAGCAAAATGGAGCCAAAATTGTTGCAACAAAAGAATGGTAAGAAATAGTTTACTGCTGCATTCTATTTCTGTCAGTTATTTGGAAAGATTCTAAAAAATATGTTTAAAAAGTATGATTTAGAGTTAAAACTGCAACCAGTAAAATACAAAGTTTTGTATTTTCGCTTCAAAATTAAATTTGGTGTCTGTTTTTGCAAAGTATTTAACACACAATGCATGCATCTGTAAAACATGCCTTTGTATATGTGGACATAGCCATGCAGTTTCCAGTATACAAGTTTCTTTCATCTTGTTTTCAGTCAGATAATTATTTTCCTGTAATTACAAGTTGTTGGCCTTCTGTGAGAAGCACGACCATGTTATGCTGGATTTGTTCTACAACAAATAATTGTGGGGAAAATGAAGTTTTTCACCTTTGAAACTGAGGGGTGTTATTTGCATATTTTGATTGTGCAAGATAAATCTCTCCTGGAAACACAAAGTTGGAAACCCCAGTGTGTTTCCCTGTCTCACATTGGCAGATCTGAGTTGCGTTGTAAACGTGTCCATGGCAATACCAGCAGATTCCTGGGTTAATTCAGATTTTTAAGTAAATTTTCCCCTTCCTTCTGCCACCCCCTCATAATTTATATTTGTTTTGCTTTGTGGCATTACATACTCACAGAATCACAGAATGGTAGGGGTTGGAAGGGACCTCTGTGGGTCATCTAGTCCAGCCCCCCTGCTGAAGCAGGGTCACCTAGAGTAGGCTGCACAGGACCTTGTCCAGGCAGGTTTTGGACATCTCCAGAGAAGGAGACTCTACAACCTCCCTGAGCAGCCTGTTCCAGTGCTCCATCACCCTCAAAGTAGAAGAAATTTTTCCTTATGTTCAGATGGAACTTCATATGCCTCAGTTTGTGCCCGTTGCCCCTTGTCCTGTTGCTGGGCACCACTGGAAAGAGTCTGGCCCCATCCTCTTGACACCCACCCTTGAGATATTTATAGGCATTTATAAGGTCCCCTCTCAGCCTTCTCTTCTTCAGGCTGAACAAGCCCAGCTCCCTCAGCCTTTCCTTGTAGGACAGATGCTCCAGTCCCCTCATCATCTTTGTAGCCCTCCGCTGGACTCTCTCCAGTAGCTCCTCATCTTTCTTGAAGTGGGGATAGCGCAGAACTGGACACAGTATTCCAGATGGGGCCTCACTAGGGCAGAGTAGAGGGGAAGGAAAATCTCCCTCGACCTAGTAACAGCATATCTGATATGATGATATGTGCAGGCTAGGATAGAGTGGCTAGACATTATGGTGGCAACATACCAAGTAAGCATGCTGTTACGGTGGGGCTATGGCCTCAGCATGTGGGAGAGTAAGCTGTAAGAAAGTTGAGGACAGTTTCTAGCTCTTCGTGACTGTAGCTGGATGTTCCACAATCATAATATAATCAGTATTTTGGGGGTTGATTTTTTTTCAGTTTGAATTGGCTCATTCTTTGGGCTGGAAGCTTTGTATTTAGATGTGTTGAAAATGAATTAACTTTACATGCTCACAATCTTGAGTGACCTGAGTGAGGGCAAGACAGGAAGGCTGCTTCTTAACCCTGCCAATATCTGGAAAATTGCTGAGACTCAATGATAGAGTTCTCGGTACTCTCTAAAAGGATAATTTTTCACTTAAAAGGCTTGGCTGCTAGTTTGTGTCGCTCATGTGTATTTAGTATCTCTATATTCATTTGTCTCAGAGTAGCCAGATTTTGGCCAGATTAAAGAGCAGTGGAAAAAATGCCCCTGCAAGATAATGGATATTGGTCACTTCTTCTAGGCTGAGTATTCAGTGTCTCTGATCTGTGATACTTATGATGGCAGATGGGCCGTCTGCACATGAAGGCGTCATGGTTTTGCTGGGTTTTGTTATTCATGCCTTCCCACACACCCCCACCCCACCCCGCCAAGGTCTGTTTGAATCACAGAATCGTAGGGGTTGGAAGGGACCTCTGAGGATCATCTATCTGGTCCAACTCCCCTGCCAAAGCAGGGTCACCTACAGCAGGCTGCACAGGACCCTTATCCAGGCGGGTTTTGAATATCTCTAGAGAAGGAGAATCCACAGTCCCTCTGGGCAGCCTGTTCCACTGCTCTATCACTCTCAGAGTGAAGAAGTTCTTCCTCATGTTCAAGTGGAACTTCCTATGCTTCAGTTTGTGCCCATTGCCCCTTGTCCTGTTGCTGGGCACCACTGGAAAGAGTCTGGCTCCATTCTCCTGACACCCACCCTTGAGATATTTATAGGCATTTATAAGGTCCCCTCTCAGCCTTCTCTTCTTCAGGCTAAACAAGCGCAGCTCCCTCAGCCTCTCCTCGTAGGAGAGATGCTCCAGTCCCCTAATCATTTTCGTAGCTTGAAGGACCAGCTTGATGCTGAAGAACCACTTGTGAGAGAGGAAAACATCTTGCGTGAATTCTGGCGTTTTTTTGAGTCAATACTGGGCCTTTTTTAAGAAGCTGTGGAGTTCTAAGCATCTTCACTGTGCTGTGTTTTCCTTGCCAAAGGAAGAAGTATAGGAAATGCAAACAAGAGCAGCTGGAGGAAATCAAAATGTGTTAAGTGCTCATGGGGAGGGAGTGTGCACAAATGAAAAAAGTCTTGCTTTTGGTTTTAACAGCTGCAGAAGCTGAAGTAATCAACTCTTGCAGTTTCTTGCAGTCTCAGAAAGTTGTAGAAACAATGGTGGTAATGTCTGTCAGAACTGATGTAACTGATTCTATATAGTAGCATAAAAAAAGTTTATTTTGTGTCTGGTAAGTCTATTTAGCCTAGTATTCTGTCTCTAACTGAATTAAAACATGAGGTTTATAGGGGTGAGAAATGGTTTACAAAACACTTCCTGTTATTGACAACTCTTCTGTGAAATGTGTATATGTATTCTTATTTCTGCTACTCTTTTTACACTAAAGGAAACGAAATGATAAAATAGAATTGCTTGTTGGCTGTATTGCTGAACTATCAGAAATGGAAGAAAACATGCTGCTGAGACATGGGGAAAATGACTTCAGTGTCATGTATTCCACGCGGAAAAACTGTGCACAGCTTTGGCTTGGCCCTGCTGCATTTATAAATCATGGTGAGTAGTAAGTATAAGAAGCATGTTAAGGGACATAAGCAATTCTACTCAGAAGTATTGCTATATGTGAGCTGAACAACACAGGACCTTAGAGAAAATGTCTAAATCTTACATACTGGATTCCTGTAGGACAAAATCCTGTTGGGATTTTCCCAGACTAGAGCTCATTGGCTGTGAGCTGGGAAACTCACAGAAGGCTCTAGGGACTGATGCCTTCTTCCTTCACGATGACTTTCAAACTATCAGCTAAATTAGTGGGGCATGTTGTGGGTTACCTTGAATTCTTTGTGAACATAGTCAACAGTAATGTATTTCTTAGGTGAACTACTTATGCCATCTTTAACCTTTTGCACAGAAGTTTAACTGATTCATTTGTATGCTGAAGGGACAGCAGGTAGCATTTAATATAAATATATTACCTGAAAGAGGAGGGAAATGGCACATTTGTGATAGCATAGGGACAAGCTCAGAAACCAAACTATATCAAAATAGGTATCTTTTGGTGTACAGCTTTGTGCAATACTGACATAACTCCCAGTATTTAGTTGAGATTCTACAGTTACTGAAGTCAGAGTGAATCCTTACTTTAGATATCTACAACTATTCATGTTTCAGGTCTTATCAACAGTTAATTGACTTTATCTTTTGGACCTTTTTCAGATTGCAGACCTAACTGTAAGGTAAGCAAGAAATTAAAAGTAAATAAATAAAGCACCACACTTCTTTTTCTTTGTGCCTGCACGTTTTCCTCCCCAACTGTTTTACTTTTTTTTTTTCTTATTCAGATACTGTTCAGCCTTAATGATTAATCTTCCCCCTCCCCTATCATCTCCTTCCCTAGTTTGTATCAACGGGAAGAGATACAGCATGTGTGAAAGCTCTAAGAGACATTGAACCTGGAGAAGAAATCTCTTGTTACTATGGAGATGGTTTTTTTGGAGAAAATAATGAATACTGCGAATGTTACACCTGTGAAAGGTATGTATTGATGTAAATAAGTTTCAAATGGAATTGGGCATATTCATGATACATTTTGTGAAGTTGAAAGTCCTTGATTATGAGTTCTCAGATTTTTGGACATAACTGATTCCTAGCTGTTTGTTGTAATTATTTTTTTTATGTTGTTACTGAATGGTCGTGTTTTCTGAGAACTCCTGCATTCTGTTTTTCTTTTGATTCTCTGTTCTGGAGAAGGCCCAAAATGAGAATAACAAAAAAATGTAGATGCTTAAAAATACTGGTATTATAATTGGAAGTAAAAGCAGTTGTAGCTTCTCTGAGACCATCAGCAGCTGACCCCCAGCTTTTGCTCCTTTTTGCATTGGAAAAAACAAATTTCATTAATGTTTTCTGTGTTGACCTCAAGTTCTCTTCTGCTGGGAATGGGCAAAGTAGTTTTCACCCTATGTTGCTAGAACTTGGGGGTTTGTGTATTCATAAAGATCTGCTGGCTTGGATGGTACTTGTCTGTATCTGTCCATCACACAATAGCAGCAAAGTTGTTCTTATACTTCTTTTTCACCTGTGCTATCCCAACCTAGTTTATTCACAAAATCAGTTGAAAGAATTTCATAGGTAGTTTTTGCCATGTTGAAACTTCTGCTTACTGTGAGCATGGAGACTCAACACCATTTGCGAGAGCTTCACCTAGCTCCAAGAGGAACTACACAGAAGCTGTAACAGTTCTGTTACTGTTTGACCTAACTGTAGAGAGGAAAAGCTAATAGAGAACAAAATTTTAATCGTATTGAGGAATAGCTTAGTGTACCTACATACAAATAGTTTAATAATTCTACCTTCATTTTTACTAGGTAGTTTGGTCACTAACAATTTTTGCAATTCAAGGGAAAACCTGATGCGGACCTCTGAGCTCATATGGTGTTGATAGATCATTCTAAGTGAAGCGTACAGTCTCAGAGTTTGTCTAGAGAGCTGCTAGTAAAAATGGGCTTCAGTCCTGGGAGCTGTTTAGGATTGAGTAAATGGGCACCGTCGTAGTCCTTTCCTTGTTACTTGCAGTGATATGTTTCTTTTTGCTCAAGTTCCTTTGTTAATTTCAGTGTAATATGGACATACTTTCTCTTTCAGGACAAACCAATTTTGTGTGTCCGAACATTTTTACTAACTTGTCATTTTTGTATTTTAAGTACATGAAAACGTTATATTTTAAAGCTAGTGTTTGGCTATTTTAACTTTAGGAGTCTACTTTTCAGTCACAAAGCTGTGTTACAGCAATCAGATATGAGAGATTTGAATTTAGGGGAGCTGAGTAAGTAAAAACGCGTCCTTACCAACACTGATGAGGCAACTGTCACTTTGTACGCCACGAAAGAAAACATCTTTAAGTGGCCCAATTTTGATGATGCTATAGAGAGTGCTAATTTGTAATGTTAAAATGCTAGAGTTCTGAGAATGTGGGATACATTTCAGAGCTGTGGGAAGGTTGGCACTGTACAATTTTTTTTTTTTCCCAAGCCTCCAAAAATCATCACCAAAGTAATTTGCATATCTTTACATATGTGCATGTACTGTTTTTAGGTGAGCCTGCTGTTCATGCTGGCTGAGACAAATAGGCACCACAGACAACATGTCAGCAGACAGTTGTGGTTGTTTATAGCACCATTACTTTCTGATCTGAAGTGGCTGTTGCTTGTGCGAAGTTCAGACTAGTCTCTTAAGCTGCCTGTAATTTGCAGAATTCAAAATAATACTGAAAGAATATTCCATATCAAACAAACACCAGTTATTTTGGGTACAAATATGTGTACATATTAATTAACCTTGTGAAGCCTGAGATCCTGTCTGATCTTTTTGGTGCACTTTTGGTTAAGTTTTGTAGATCTTCTTCCAGTGCAACACACTGGAATCCAAACTGAAGTTTTTTTTTAATAATTCTGTGAACCGCAAGTGTACTGGATTAGTAAAGAGTATCAAAGGAATCCTTGTAGTGGTGGATGAAGTGCAGGTACCAGAATTCTTAATCTTCTTCATCTTCTGTGATAACTTAAGAGAAAAAAAAATCCTAGGTTTGCTCAGCCATTTCATTTTCATGGTAAATATATACCGGAGTCTTTCAGTTACAAAGGAACACAGAACTATGTGATAATTTTATTCCATTTTCTGTACTTTTCAACTCTTGCTGATGCAGTAACAAGCATTGTAACTGAAGTTGGCATTTTTTTACTAGCCTGATGTGATCAGGAAAAATTTCTTATCTAAGCTAATATAGGCAGTATTTTGAACTACCATATTTCATTTTCACTTGTATAATTTGACTATGAAATTATACTAAAATAGACAAAGCAAGGGAAACCTACTTCTGCAGTTCTTCTTGCAAGAAATAAATGGAAGGTTTTTCTGCACATCTTACTCAAATGAGATAAGTGTATAGATAACTTATTTAAATAGCCCAGAAAATGCTGATAAATTCAGTGGGTTTTGGTATTTTTTATCCAAGTATACCTGGGATTCAAACTATTGTATGCAAAATGAAGTACTAAATTTATATCAACAGTTTTTAATACAATGTGTCCTCATTTTCTTTATAGACGCGGAACTGGTGCTTTTAAATCGAGAGTGGGATTGCCAGCACCTACTCCTGTGATTAACAGTAAATATGGACTGAGAGAAACAGATAAACGATTGAACAGACTTAAAAAGTTGGGTGACAGCAGCAAAAATTCAGACAGCCAGTCTGTCAGCTCTAACACTGATGCAGATACCACTCAGGAAAAAGCTAATGCAAGTAAGTAATGGGAAAAGCTTGGAGTGCAGGATTAAAGATTTCATAAAAAATAAGAAAAAGTTTCACTGTGATGGAATTCCTCTCTTAGTGTTGAGATGCATCTCAGATACTGCTCTTTAGAACTGAATTATTCAGGAATCTGAAGGCAATTTAAATAGCAAATTCACGGTTTTCCTTAAGTATTTCAAGAACAATAGGTGGTGTGTTCTTGGTTTGCTTTATTTATATCAAAAGCAAATAGTGTCATATTTCTGAATGTGTCAGTTAAAGTTCTGTCAATAATGTATGTATTTCAAAATATGGTAGACTCTCACATGCAATAGTATGGTTTAGGAAAGAAAACTTACACAGTCTGAATTAGCTACATTCTGTAGGCAAACGGCGTTTAAATAAACACTCTTAGTAGAGATTATTAAATAGTTGTTTCATTTGGAGATCCTTTAAATTGGGCAGCTATTCCCTCTCCACATCCAGGACTGATAGTTCAGGTACCTATTCTGAAGTGAAAGTGCACAGTTAATAATATCAGGAGAAACTGGAAGGGATTTTTGTTTGTGGTGCTCCTGAGAAATTTCTCTTCATGGAGTAGTGAGTATCATTTATTTACTTCCCCCCCTTCCCCAAGCCCACCACCCTCAGCATAGGCAAAATATAAACAACTTAAACTTTGACTTAACTAGCAAACAGGTTTGGAGGCAAGTAAAATATTATGGTTCCATCTTGCTCCTGTTTGCTGCTGTGACATTTTAAAAAAAGCAAAACAAACAAATAAACCACACTTCCCAAAACCCTCTTACGATCTCTAATTATAGAGGTTTTAGAGTTGGAGCCTTGCTTGGGGAGATGAAACTCCTTTGCCTACCACAGTAGGTGACAGAAAACTGAAACCAATATAGTAGTTACAGTTTTGCGGTTATTTTCTGAGGTTAATTCTAGAGCATGCTGATCCTCATATTTTGCTGGAATAATACTCAATAAAAACTGTGGATAATGTGGGATGGATTAAAAAAAAAAAAAAGGAGGATAAATTCAGTAAAAAACAAACATGGTATATAGGGGGCAGTGAGGGAAGTGTACCTGAAATTTAGGTGTACTTGCATGACAATTCCTTTCATGTCTGAGTTGCAAGTTAAATAGTATGCAGTAAGGAGAGAGACAATCTAGCCTGTTTCACAGATTTTGATGAAATGTTTAAATAAATGAAATAACTACAGTATTTGGGAGTGGGAAACCCAGGATAAAGCAGTGTCATAACAAAAACACTTTCTTGTTTTCCAGCTAACAGAAAATCTTCAATTGGTGTAAAGAAGAACAGCAAAAATAGAACATTAACAAGACAGTCTATATCAAGAATTCCAGCATCCTCAGATTCTACCTCATCTAAACTAACTCATATAAATAATTCCAGGGTACCAAAGAGACTGAAAAAGCCTGCAAAGCCTTTACTTTCAAAGATAAAGTTGAGAAATCAGTGCAAAAGGCCAGAGCAAAAGAATGCGTCTAAAAAGCTTGAAATGGGAAATTTAGTTCTCAAAGAGCCTAAAGTAGTTTTGTATAAAAACTTGCCCATTAAGAAGGATAAAGAATTGGAGGGACCAGTCAAAGTTGCAGTCTCTAGTGGATGCTTAACAAGGCATGCAGCAAGAGAACATAAACTGAATTCTGTGAAAGGTGCTCATGAGCATGGTGATATACCACCCTGCACATACATAACAAGGAGGTCAATGAGAACAAGGATGAATTTGAAGGAGACCTCTGACATAAAGCTTGAACCAAATATGTTGGATAGCTACAAGAATAATTTGACCGGAACACAATCGGACATTTTAGAGCAGCAGTCTCCTGTGATAAATGAAAATGACATAGCTCATGGACCATCACATAAGGGGGAGATTAGGTGCCAGAAAAATGATGCAGGCATTTCAAAAAAGAAATCTCGACAAGGAAAACTTGTGAAACCATCTGCAAAAATAGAAGAAACTAATACTACGCACAATACACCTGTGAAAGATGAAGTACCAGATTTGATTAGTTCTCATTCAGATCTCGGAGAGAGGAATAACATGGTGGACACATCTGTTGGCTATACAGACTGTATCCCTGGATCTGGTGGCTGCCCTATTGTAACATCTGACAATTTTAAAGTGAAAGACAGCTTTAGAACTGCAAAAAGTAAAAAGAAAAGGCGAATCACAAGGTATGATGCACAACTTATCCTTGAAAATAGCTCTGGGATCCCTAAACTGACTCTTCGTAGACGCCATGATAGCAGTAGCAAGGCAAATGACCAAGAAAGCGATGGAATGAATTCTTCAAAAATAAGCATAAAATTAAGTAAAGACCATGAAAAAGATAGTAATTTATATGTAGCAAAGCTAAATAATGGGTTTAACTCAGGATCAGGCAATAGTTCAACAAAATTAAAAATACAGCTAAAACGAGAGGAAGAAAACAGAGGGACGTACCCTGAGGACCTTCATGAAAATGGTATGTGTTGTATTGAAACTCGTTCCCGTGTGGAGTCAAGAATGGAAGTAGATGATTATAGTCACTATGAAGAAGAAACAGCAGATGAAGATTCATCAGAAGGCGATAATGAAGAGGAAGATGACTATGATGATGAATTTGATGACTTTATTCCTCTTCCTCCAGCTAAGAGATTAAGGCTTATTGTTGGCAAGGATTCAATAGATATTGATATTTCTTCCAGGAGGAGAGAAGATCAGTCTTTAAGGCTCAATGCATAAGCTTATAGGTCTTAAACTGACCTGGATGTCATTTTTAAAAAAAAATTTGAAAACTAAAAAAAACCTACAACAACAAACAACAAAAATTCCATTGATTATTCCTCCATTGAAGAACTTTCTGAAAAACTTGGCAGCTTTTCTTTATTGTTTATTCACCTATCAACGTAATATTGTAGAAAGTGTACAGCATACTGACTCTTCTTAAATCTGATTTGTGCAGATTTTTATTGTACTTTTTAATAGCCTTCTTATGTGCAATTCTGAGTTAGAGGTAATGCTCTGTTGTATAATAAAGGCTCAAGCAAAGTTATAAAATTGCATCAAATCTTTCCATGCAGGACAATGAGAATACAGTGTGGCTACATAATTATTTTCGATCAGTAAGAGCATTACTTTGCTCTTATGATAATTGACTAAATAATTTTAAAAAAATCATAGTAGCAGCTTATTAAGGTTTTCTAGTATATGTTAATATCACCAGCAATGATCTACAGCTTTTCGATTTATTTGCTAGATGTTTTTTTCCCCCTTTGGAGTTTGTCAGTTCTAACACTGTATGCTGTCGCAGATGTACTGTTTGTGGCCTTTGTTATAGTAGCAAACTGTTGATTGGAAGTCAGATTGATTTCTTTAAAAAAGAGGAAAAAAGATTAAAAGGTGTTGACAATTTGCTGACTTTTTAGTACATTATATGTACATGGGTAGCAGTATGCAGAATAAAAGTTTGGATATGGTGTATTTATTGCTTGTTATGTAAATTAAACATCTTGTATTTAACACTTTTCAATACTTTTAGATAAAATTGTTCTTTGCAAGAATGATTGGTGCTTATTTTTTCAAGAATTTGCTGTGAAATAATGTGATTACAACGGGCAACATTTATCCAATGAACTGCAGCTATCCTAAATTGGTTCTTCATATTTTTCTGTTGCACTTGTAAAATGCTACAAGGGATTTAAAGAAAATCTATTCACTTAACTTATGATAGTTTTATGAAATTAAAAACAACTAAGTCACAGCTTTTGTTCTGTGGTAACCTATAAATTGTTTGTCTTTTAAGAGCCAGTTGTAAAAGACTGAAAAATATGTATATGTTGTAAATATTTGTGTGTTGTGAAATTTTTGTCATAAGAAATTGAGATAACTTGCCAGAAGGGTTTTTAAGTTTAGAAATACATCCATGCCAATAAAATAGGAAATTGTAAACCTAGTTTTAAACTCTGCATCAGTTGGAGTTCTTTGCTCATACTTAATACTTCAGAGTTCACGTAGTACTTCAGAGTCTTCTTTGTAACAAGAGCATCAGGGCAATCTTTGGCTCTTTTTGTTTTTAATAAAAGAATGTTAGGAAACTTCTGGGCACAATGGACTTGTTTTTATGTATAAATAGGCTCATTTGTAAGCCATTTCTTTGAAGCAGGTCTAAAATGTCATAGCTGACATAACTGTGTAGCACTTTCGTCTATGGTATTTGTTTTTTTACTGAACCACGGATTAAGGTTTAGACATTTTGTATCTAGGAGTTTAGAAACAGAAGACACATCATAAAACGTGTAGTTGAATCCAGTATTAACAGCATAGTATTTTCATGTCAGGTCTCTGCCCAGAAAAGCAATAGCTTGAGTTACATGACCACTGTATTGCCCAGTTGTGAAAGCATCAGTGGAAATGGGTGGGTGAATTTGCATGTAAAGTGGTCATAATGGGTTTGCCCATCTGTCTGACCCTCGCAAGAAATGAAGAATTTTTTCAAAGAAATCCTTCCAGATGCATTGCGGTAATTTGCTGGGCTGCACATTAGATGGTGGATTTTCCCTTCATCTCACTCCCATTCTGTATTCTTAGCAGAGAATTAAGGGTAGAATTAACCACAATACTTGTAACTTTGTTTTTACGATGTCCAGTCTCTGTTAAAGGCCTGCTGTGTCTCATGTACAGTGTATATATTTTTTAAAAAATGTGTAGGCCTGTATGTAATGCACAGTCTTTACTGTCAGACCTGGGCTTTTACTTCATGGAAGACTGAACACAAAAGCTTTGGTAAGTATGCTGGAGTTTTTGAGTACTGTCAGCTGTGATGGATTGTCTTGTGGGATTTTTAATTGTACTATAGCATATAAAAATGGGTTATTAAAAACAGGGTTACAGGGAAGATAGCTGTGTTATGAAGGGCTTGCTGTGTAGTAGGAAGTTTATCAGCAAACAGTTGATGGCAAGTAACAGTAATACAGTTTTTTCCTCAAGAATTCAGTGGTATTTTCGGTGTGCCATGCAAGTGTGTGGCTGTATCAGTGAAAGATGTGAAGAGCTGAACAGAGCATCTGTGTGCTTTTCTGTTCACTGCTGGCGTACCGGTTCCTCTGCTTTGCTCCATGATCTGTTTTTCTTGGCAGCTCTTCTGTCTCCCTGCTGCTCCTGCTTGCAGACTCATGCTGAATGGTCCTCTGGCAGTCTTGGTGGTTCTAGTGGGGGGTGATTGGTTTGCAGAAACATCATTCACCTGGGCATTTGACAGAAAGGGGGTTGATGCAGCAAGTAAACATTGCCAGCCCTTGTTGTTGACCAGTATGCTCAAGAGCAGCTTTAGGGCTTGCTAAAGTAGTATCAAGCAGTGAAAGCAGATCATGAAACACATGGTGAAAAAAAGTGCAAGAGAATCCTGCCCTTACAGGTGGAAACTTTTCCTGGAGTAGATGTTCCTACTAACTCATAGTTCAACCAGCCCCTTAATGAGAGCTGCTTTTCTTTGACGCAGAAATAAATACAAGCATCTCTTCAGGCATCAGGAATTCTGGATTGCTCTTGTTCATTGAACAGTCGTCTTGTCTTGGAGAATTTGGAACAAAAGCTTCTAGTCATTTCCAGGGTAGACAGGTCCATAGCTATGTCCTGTTACCCAGATTTTTGGTGTTACAGATGCCTTTAAAAGAAATTAATTCCCTCCCGGTTGGTCAGGTAGGCAGGAGTTGCACAACCCCAGTCTCTTATTCTTTCCTCAGCAGAAAATATTTTTTTCCCATCATTTATGTGTGAATTAACGGATCATGGTGTTTTCTTAACCTTAGTAGGAGAGGAAGATGAATGTTTGTCACATGTATGAGAATCTGACAACCTGGCACTGTTTCTTGCTGTCCATTCACAAAGCGCTGTGAAGTTAATGGCAATTTGAATGTCGGGGATCCTGTCTAGCCTCCGCGTCTCTCATTTCCCAGGATACTGGTTAGAAAAGATGCAAGAGCTGCGTAGGTTTATGGTGACCACAGCGTATCTTTTTAGTGGGTTGAAGAATTGGAAGCATATTACAGATGGGCTGTGTCAGCTAATCTTATGTGTAGCAGGTTGTGAGGCTAAAAGGGAAACATTACAACCACCATGAAAATGGCAGGTTGGGTGCAGGTTTGTGAGCGTCCTGGTAAATGCAGTGTGTACTGAGCTGCTGTGTAGTTGAGGACAGGCTTAGCATGAGCTTTTGAATGTTTGGGTAGCAGATGTAGCTGTTAGCTGACTTGCACCTTTGATGTGGTGAGTTAATAGGGTAGGGGCGAAGGTGTTGATTCTTCATAAGAGAACACCAAATACTGTTTCTTCACAAAACGGTGTTACTGAATTGTGAGTGTTCTTCAAAAAAAAAAAATGCAGTGAGCATATGGGAGAGGGAGTGCTCCTAAGCGCTCTGCTCGAGTAGCAGCTTGCATAGACTACCCCTACAGTAAAATGGCTACAAAGTATGTTACAGGCAGTTCAGTCCTGTTGCGTACTGTTCCCTCTCTATACCAGAGGGGCAGAAAAGGTGATTGCTCGGTGTGTTTGTCTGCCTTGCACAGGGCAGTCTAATCTTTCCCGTGTCTCTTTGGACTGATACAGAAAGGTTTTTCACATTTATTTGAGGAGGAGTGATTTGATTGGAAATAGCCAAATAAGAATCAAGCCTTTCCTGCTTCACATGTGTAGGGATGTTTCTGTGGCACTGGGGATTTTCTGGAAAATTGCTTGTGCAAAGAAGCAGCAATGTTTCTGCAAACAGCAGACTCTTGTGATTGTCAGATATTATTGTAATATTGTCTGACATGAGTCCCCTTCTGAGCTAGTGAAGCATCATCAAGCTGCCTCAGCTCCAGCTATAAGTGTGCAAGCAGGGGATTTTGGACTTGGAAAAAACTGATAAAATTGCTGTGGATTCTCTGTAAGTTCTACATGAATGTCCTGTTACTGTCTATTCTTCTGTTTTTCAAATGCGCCTTTTTTTTTTTTCCCTTTCTTTTCCCTCCAGTGTATTTGTTGGGCATTAGGTGTCATCTCTGTATGTAGTTTGAATGCTGGGGTATTAGCTTGTCTGAAGCTTACTGTTGTTCAGAGTGTTACTGGTTTTTGTTCACAACGCATTGGCTTTATTCAGTTATACTGCCAGCCACTATGTTAAACACACCCAAGGTACTCCCCAAAGTATGTATTCATGTCTGCTTTTGGCTGGGTTTTTTCCTGGTTTCTGTTTGTCCATTTTGCCTGGCACTGCCAGTGAATGTGCTTCAAAATAAGCGCAGAAACACAATTCCTTTGCTCCCCGTATTTGTCTGGTTGCCCCTGTTAGAATGAGGGGGTGAAAGTTTGGGAGCTGTGCAGAATAAGACTTAATGAAAATTAAAAGCAAAGTTACATAACTTTGCATTATATCTCCTAGTTTTCCTAAATCCCTTTCCCAAGTGAGTATTTTCTTGTTGTTTAGGCTGGGCCGTAAGTAAACCTATGGCCTTGCATAATCTCTGTTGCCGCATCTGAAATTCTTGATTTCACAGGTTAACAATATTATGGTAGGCTGTCTGTCTTCAGCAACACTTACAGGTGTTTGGCTCTTTTTTGCCTGTTGTAACCACTGGTTTTTGCCCACCAAGGGAAATTCTGCGGTAGTCATGCTTGAGTTCACATACCTTATTTATACTAATCCCATGAAATATTTTTATTATTGCAAGGTATACATGGCTGTTTCGGTGTTACTCCTCCCCACAGACAAAGGAAATCCATGACTTCTTCCCAGGCAGCTACAT